GGGGGGGGGGGAATGAATGAAACAGATTTTTTTTTAGTCAAATCTTTCTGCAACATATGTTGCAATCATAAAGCAGCTTGTATGCTATTTAGCAAAATATTTTATGGTACTGGTAAACTAATTCCTGTAGTACACAGCAAATACATGATCAAAGTATATAAAATAAATTGTATATGAGGAAGTATTTCAAACTCTGAAGCCTATTTTGTGATCTCTAATGAGTTGCAAGGGGCTTTACTTCCTATTGAAACAGAGCAAGACTATCCTTTGGTAAAGATGTTGTTAGACTGCCAGGAACTTTTTGATAAACAAAAACCCTGCATCTCTAACATACTGGCTTATTTAAAAAAAAAAAAAAACTAGGTAAATTCATCAAAGGTGTCTATTAGCTGTGAGCTGGGATGGATCCATAGCCTAGGATTGGGTGACGGGATGACTCATTTGATGATTCCTTGTTTTATTTCCTCTGAAGCACCTGGCATTGGTCACTATCAGAAAGCAGGATATTGGCTTACATGGACCTTTGTTCTGACCCAATACGGCCATTCTCATGCTGTAGTTGATTACCAGTTTTAATGTTCAAGCAGAATGCTTTAGAGCACCTTCAGAGTCAGTGACTTTGAATGAACAGACTTGTTTTTTGGTTCTAATGAAATATCTAGCGGTAGATTATGCTTTTAAAATAAAGTCTTAGTACAGAAAATTACTTGGACCAAAAGACAAATTTTGGGTAATCCACAAATTTCAGATAATAGGTTTCTCGCCTTATGTAAGGATGTGCTAGGTTAACCGCCCCGTCTGCAGTGAGTCTGGGCATGTCTCGGGCCCTTGTGACTGGGCCTCTGCCTACAATGGGGTAGGGGAAGGTGGCTCCAGCTCCACCAGCAGCCTTCCTTTGATCCGTCAAACATGTTTACCTGGTTAACCAATGAAATGGAATTTTACATCCCTAGTCTGTTCGGCTTCATTTATTCCCTGTAAGACTTCTAGTACTAAGTAGTCCCCACTTTCTGAACAGGTCTAGAATTGCTCCCTCGTTCTCAGCCTCATTGGTTTAGTCCTTGGCCTCAGGTTGCACCAGTGGGCCCGAGCCATAAGCAGTCATGAGCTCTGGGGCCGTCAGAGGCAAGTACATAACTGCGTGGGGCCATTGCTCCTGCCCCTGGGTGGGGCAGTGCATTGTGGAGTCTAGCTTGCACCCCTGCAATAGACCTAACAGCAAATAAGTCTAGGGCCCTAGCCCTTGGTCAGAGCTCAGGTGCTAGCAGATTGTAGCCTATGCCTCCCAGCTCAGGCAGCCCAAAACACTGGGTTAAAGCAGGGAATAGGCTTTAGCCTGAGCTCGGAGCAGCAAGCAATTCAAGTAGCCCAAACGATCTTGGGCCGTAGTCACCAACCGGTTGATCGCGATTGACTGATTAATCATGAGGCCTCGACCAGTCGATCACGAGGCGTTGGGGGGAGACACCCGTTTTCCCCCACCCCAGAGAAGCCCCACTACCTACCTCCAGCATAGTGCTGGCTTCCTGCGGAGTGGTCGGCAGTCATGCCTGCAGCTTCATGCCACTTCTGGGGGTTCCAGAAGTGCACTGGGTGCTCTGCGGGAGGGGGTGTTAGCCCCGGAGGAGGGAGTGCAGCAGCTTCTCTGCGCTGCAGGAGGAGTGAGTTGAGCGCAGGAGTTTTCCCTGTGCTGTGGGAGCGGGAGTTGGCCCCGGGGCAGGCGTGTGTGGGGGTTCGGCTGCGCTGCAGGCGGGGGGTTTGGCCCCGAGGGTCAGGCTGTGCCGTGGGAGGCGGGTTTGGCTCCAGGGCAGGCACGCAACCCCCTGCAAGCTAGTCTACATAGGAGGGAGTGTTCACACAATTTATATCCTCAAAGTGCTTAAATATTGCAAAGGTATCTGTTTAAAAAGTACTGAGTAAGAATTCCCTGCTTGTTTGACTCGTTCCCTACTGCAGGGTGTACTCGGGAGAATTCATGTCTCTCATTTCTTTGCTTCCCTGCAGAAAAATGACTGACAGGAAAGCAAGAGGAAGCTGCAAGAGAAGTCAGACCACTCCCTAGCAGTGTAGGTACATTTTAGGCACCTGGAGCAGCTAGTAGAGAGGTTAAATCACCATGGAGCTAGTGCCTCCTACCCTGAACCATGATGAGCTGCTGAGTTGGAGGCAGAGGAATAGAATCATAGAATACTAGGACTGCAAGGGACCTCGAGAGTCATCGAGTCCAGTCTCCTGCCCCCATGGCAGGACCAAATACTGTCTAGACTATCCCTGATAGACATTTATCCAACCTACTCTTAAATATCCCCAGAGATGGGGATTCCACAACCGCCCTGGGCAATTTATTCCAGTGTTTGACTACCCTGACAGTTAGGAATTTTTTCCTAATGTCCAACCTAAGCCTCCCTTGCTGCAGTTTAAGCCCATTGCTGCTGCTTCTATCCTCAGAGGCCAAGATGAACAAGTTTTCTCCCTCCTCCTTATGACACCCTTTTAGATACCTGAAAACTGCTATCATGTCCCCCCTCAGTCGTCTCTCTTCTAAACTAAACAAACCCAATTCTTTCAGTCTTCCTTCATAGGTCATGTTCTCTAGACTTTTCATCATTCTTGTTGCTCTTGTCTGGACCCTCTCCAATTTCTCCACAGCTTTCTTGAAATGCGGAGCCCAGAACTGGACACAATACTCCAACTGAGGCCTAACCAGGGCAGAGTAGAACGAAAGAATGACTTCTCGTGTCTTGCTCACAACACACCTGTTAATGCATCCTAGAATCATGTTTGCTTTTTTTTTTGCAACAGCATCACACTGCTGACTCATATTCAGCTTGTGGTCCATTATAACCCCTAGATCCCTTCTCTGCCGTGCTCCTTCCTAGACAGTCGCTTCCCATTCTGTGTGTGTGAAACTGATTGTTCCTTCCTAAGTGGAGCACTTTGCATTTGTCTTTATTAAACTTCATCCTGTTTACCTCAGACCATTTCTCCAATTTGTCCAGATCATTTTGAATTATGACCCTATCTCTAAGTTGTATTTACCTAGTTTATTGATAAGAATATCGTGCGAGACCGTATCAAACGCCTTACTAAAGTCTAGGTATACCACATCCACCGCTTCTCCCTTATCTACAAGACTCGTTATCCTATTAAAGAAAGCTATCGGATTGGTTTGACATGATTTATTATTTACAAATCCATGCTGGCTGTTCCCTGTCACCTTGCCACCTTCCAAGTGTTTACAGATGATTTCCTTAATTACTTGCTCCATTATCTTCCCTGGCACAGAAGTTAAACTAACTGGTCTGTAGCTTCCTGGGTTGTTCTTATTTCCCTTTTTATAAATGGGCACTAGATTTGCCCTTTTCCAGTCCTCTGGAATCTCTCCTGTCTCCCATGATTTTCCAAAGATGATAGCTAAAGGCTCAGATACCTCCTCTGTCAGCTCCTTGAGTATTCTAGGATGCATTTCATCAGGCCCTGGTGACTTGCAGTCATCTAACTTTTATAGGTGATTTTTAACTTGTTCTTTTTTTATTTTATCTTCTAAACCTCCCCCCTTCCCACTAGAATTCACTTTTAGGCATTCCTTCAGACTTCTCAGTGAAGACCGAAACAAAAGTCATTAAGCATCTCTGCCATTTCCAAGTTTCTTGTTACTGTTTCTCCCTCCTCACTGACCAGTGGGCCTACCCTGTCCTTGGTCTTCCTCTTGCTTCTAACGTATTTATAAAAAATCTTCTTGTTTCCCTTTATTCCCGTAGCTCGTTTGAGCTCATTTTGTGCCTTTGCCTTTCTAATCTTGCCCCTGCATTCCTGTGGTGTTTGCCTATATTCATTCTTTGTAATTTGTCCTACTTTCCATTTTTTATGACTCCTTTTTTATTTTTAGATCATGCAAGATCTTTTGGTTAAGCCAAGGCAGTCTTTTGCCATATTTTCTATCTTTCCGATGCAGCGGAATAGCTTGCTTTTGGGCCCTTAACAATGTCCCTTTGAAAAACTGCTAACTCTCCTCAGTTTTTCCCCTCAGTCTTGATTTCCATGGGACCTTACATATCAGCTCTCTGAGCTTACCAAAATCCGCCTTCCCAAAATCCATGGTTTCTATTTTGCTGTTCTTCCTTCTACCTGTCATTAGAATTGTGAACTCCATGATTTCATGATCACTTTCATCCAAGCTGCCTTCCACTTTCAAATTCTCAACCAGTTCCTCCCTATTTGTTAGGATCAAATCTAGAACAGGTTCCCCCTTAGTAGCTTTTTTACCCTTCATTAGAATTGTGAACTCCATGATTTCATGATCACTTTCATCCAAGCTGCCTTCCACTTTCAAATTCTCAACCAGTTCCTCCCTATTTGTTAGGATCAAATCTAGAACAGGTTCCCCCTTAGTAGCTTTTTCAACCTTCTGGTACATCCAGATCTCTCTATACCTGAGCCACAACCCCTGCACCTCGACTCCCTGCTTTGAACACCCTACTG